CCACAGCTTCTGTGCACTTACAGGCCTACAGCTCGATCGATCGAAAATGGATTCAACCGCCCCCATTGCAGACTCTTCCCACCACGGTTTATTCTGTGGCCAGTGACACAGTTGATATGGGTACTAAGGTATCAGGGCCAAAGGTTTCAATGTTGATGGGAAAATCGAGAGTCCAACGAATAGCTCCCAACACTTACCATGGGGGAGGCTTGTACCCATTGGATGGAAAACCAGGAGTAAAGCCGTTTTTCATATTGAGATCGGTCTTGGTTAATGGATGGGTAAGGCGAAGGCTGACGACGGTGGAAGAATGGACAGTAAAGGATGCGCCAGTGAGAATAGTGAAGTTAGCTCAAGAGGCAGGGGAAGATATGAACCGGCTGTGGAAGTCATTAAGACCTGGGCGGTGTCTGGAACATGGATTGGTGTAACCGACAGGGATGGGCGGATTTCCAAGAAGTTACTCACCTTCGGACGTGCTGAAAAGGAACCCCCAACTGGAGTCTCTGTAAAACGTGGGATTGCCGAAATTACGCGAAGCTTGAATGAAACTTCCTTGAGAAAGGAATCGAAAAAGCTGAAGCAAAAACGGATATCCGCATCAGAAAAAATCGGTGATACGCGAGCTGAGTTGGAAGGGCCGGAAGATTGGGACTCGGAGGAAGAAGTGGATAACAACATGAGGTGGAACGCCAGAAGGTGACTTGTTGGCGTCTGCGCCGTCCAACCATGGATAGGACACTTGCACCTTCTCACTCAGCGTGTCAAGAAGTGTTTGGTCGCAAAAGAGATTGTTGTTCTGACAGACACAATGCGAAAACGGCCAAGCTATTACATAGTCTTTATTGTGCGCCAATGCAGCCAAGCAACGGTGTAGAAGAGGTTGGAAGCGACAATTGCCGACCATCGCAGGATACACACGATTGACATGTTGTCCCAACTCTGGAAGAGGGAAATCAACTATCTTTGGTGCACTTGATGCAAAAATCAGGGCTCAGAAGTGGTAGGAGTGACAGCATACGACCACAGAATGCGTCTCCTTCAGCATTATACGTCATATAGACATCCTTTACACCTCCAAGCGACCAACCTCCGCGAATGCAGATAGAGATCGCAGAAGGGCCTCCTGGTTGTCCACTTAGCCATTTTGTTGCTCCTTTTCTTATACCGTGCGAGCCAATGTCAGATATGGTTTCGTTAACCAACAAAGTGAGCTTTGCTTCTGCTTCATGCTCCTTCAGAATGGCCCCAAGTCCATCCATAAAGCGTTTATATTGTGATATGCCTGGAAACAGCCGGTCGTTGCTGGCGCATCTACCACCAAATGTTGCCATGTACAGGGAGAGGGCAAACAAAGGACATACAGCTGGGTTTGTTGGATTTGCATACACTTGCCTTGGGTTCAGTGTTGCTGTCTGTCCATTCTGGTCATTTTTCTGTTGTGCAAACATGATATTCAGACAACCTTCATCAAATTTCATGTGCTCCCAAAGGATTCTAGTTGTGTTCTTTGCGCGACACATCAGATTCCATGTGATTACTAAGAATGTATGAGAGAAGATGCTCTGTTCGTCTCCCTTTTCCAAGAACCATTTGCAGCACTTCTCATACAACTATTCTGACAACGGAATTTTTCCTCCACCATCAGAAACTCCGCCTTCGCCCTGCGCATTTGTTGTGACAATGCGGAACAGGCCCTTCTTCAGCAAATTAAGCTCTTGCCCAAACTCCACAGGATATCCATTCAAGTCTCTGTGGCATCTGAAGAGATGGTGGAGCGCCAAACATCTTGTGTTGTATGTGGACTTGGACATCCTCTTCTCGCCATCTATGCCTGTGAGGAATGCCATGAAGTGCTCAATTTCACAATTGCGGACATGCAGGACTGGTTGATGCATGCAGTCAAGTAGCTACTTCTTGAGCCAGTTTTTTTTGTTGTCCCTTGCTCTCTCGTGCTTTGACTTTCCAACAAGGCAATCATCGCTTTGTATGACACTTTTGCTGCATCAGTGACCCAGCCTTGGAGGTAGATTGGCTCATCCTTGCAACCGTCAGCAAGGATTTGCATGATGTCATAGGTGTAACTCTGTAGAGTTTCCTCAGCAACAATGGCTTGTCGCATTTCATTGGTTGTCACAGGCATCGTGTTGTTTGTTCGGAGATGAGAATTAATGGACGACAGTGAGCATTTTTTCAATGAAAAATTGAAAAACTACAATTTTTATGGTATGTTTTCCGTATTCCAACTTAAGTAGACTTTCGTGTTCCAAGAGCTTCCGCATACAGTATGTCTCCGGAAAATGTTTGGCTGAAACCCATTATGTTCTTGCACCCACATAGAAGCTGGTATCCCCCAATCCGACATAATTTCCAGTTATTTTCAAAATCTGGGCAAAAAGTCCGGAGAAAGGGCCTAGTCCTACTAGTCGGGTCAGGAAAATGTCTAACAATCGATGTCAAAGACTCACTCGTTCATCGTTCAGGATTATGGCAATGAATTCCTAAACCACCAACAGTACTGATCGGAATGAAGGCAAGAAGCCGTAGTCTTATTGTTTCAAACTGTATTGATGTGGCTACAGTAGATTGGTATTGAATGTTATTGCTTGAAATATATTAAAGGCTTCTCCGCAATCCATTCTTTGTCCTCACGAAAACTATCAAATCGACTTTCTGCTCAAATAAGCTCTATTTGGTGAATCGTTTCGACATAATCCTGCCCAATATTCCTTGATATAGGATTTACTAGAATCGAACATTCAATTTTCCAAAAGGCTACTGGAAAGTCACAATCCACCATCAATATGCCACTGTCAACCGAAGTTTGTGTTTGATGTAAAAGGATCGAACGAGTGTACTGCAGAGTCGATTCATTTGGAAAACGGAGGATGAAGAACAGAAATAGTCCAAATTGAAGAGATGGACCAGGACAACATGTAAAAGGGGATAATTTTTGTTTTTGTTCATCACTCGTCTGCAAACCTATACCGGCACTTGCATAGTAACAGTATAGTATCTAGATTGACACTTCTCTCCAACAGTATGCCCCGCATACGTTAACAGTCTCTCTTTCCCCTTTGTTTTCCCCCTGCTGATAAAAAATTTGAAAAAACCCAAAATACACAGCACGGTTGACAGACGAGCTAAAATCGTTGATGATCGAGCTTCATTGATTTAAAATACTATTCTACACACAAGTCGGATCTTGATAGATGACAATGAGAGCAGGTTTGCTGTTCCTTCAACTTGGCACAAGTTTTGCACTGGCATTTCAGCCCGTCAAACGCCCCTTGTCTCAACCAAATCAAAGCAAATGGCGTCTGGAAGCCAAATCGGATTCAGTCTATGACGCTGGTCAGATTACAGTTTTGGACGGTCTTGAGCCAGTAAGAAAACGTCCTGGGATGTATATTGGATCTACAGGTCCTGATGGTTTGCATCATCTAGTTTGGGAGGTAGTCGACAATAGTGTGGATGAGGCACTGGCGGGACATGCCACCTTTATTAGTACCAGCATAAACCCTGATGGCTCTTGTACGATTATTGACGATGGTCGAGGTATTCCAACAGATGTACATCCAAAAACAGGAGTTTCGGCACTGGAAACAGTCCTAACGGTTTTGCATGCTGGTGGGAAATTTGAAAATCAAGGCGGGAAAGGTGGATACAAGGTTAGCGGTGGATTGCATGGGGTCGGTATTTCCGTCGTCAATGCCTTGTCGGAGACAGTCCGCGTGAAAGTAGATCGAAAGGGGAAAGAAAATGTTATGGATTTTGAGCGTGGGAAACCAATCACGGCACTCCAAGTGGCAAAGGGGGTTGCATCTATAGTAGATGACCATATCCCGCAGCAATTGGAAGCTCTAAAGTCAAAAAGAGCCGAGAAAGGTGACGATGACGCCACAGGTGACTTGAAGCAACAACAGAAGCGCTTGCGGCTATTGCAAAATTTGCAGAAAAATAGAAAAACGGGAACGACAGTGACGTTTCTTCCCGACATTGAAGTGTTTAAGGGTGAAAAGGGGACACCCGATGTTAGATTTGATCCATCACGGCTCAAGCCCCGCATGGATGAGATAGCTTATTTAAATCCAGGACTTCTCCTCGCATTGAAAGACTGCCGGGGTACCAGTCCAACTGTCCAAGTGTTTTATCATGCCGGCGGATTATCGGAGTACATTTCCCGGCTATGCCAGTCCAAGACCCCCCTTTTCTCCACAGCGAAAGCATTCAAGTCTAAACAGAAAACATTTGAGGGTCTCCTTTCGGAAGATGGATTTACAATATTGTGCTCAGGATCCGATGAGGCAACAGATGTAGCCATTTCGATTGCATTGCGATGGTCCAGTGATATGTATACGGAATCAATTCTTTCCTTCTGTAATAACATTAGAACAAGAGATGGTGGATCACATGTGGAAGGTTTAAAAATGTGTTTGACAAGAACGATCAATCAATTGAGCAAGAAGCTAGGAGTGGCCAAGGAAGGAAGTGGCAACATGCCAGGAGAGTTTGTGCGCGAAGGATTGACTGCTGTCGTTTCAGTATCAGTTCCTGATCCGGAATTTGAAGGACAAACAAAGGGACGGCTTGGTAATCCAGAAGTGCGACCGGCAGTAGACGCTATGGTGTCAAAAGAGTTAACACGACTTTTTGAATTTCGCCCTGATTTACTCGAGACCATATACTCAAAGGCTAGTGCAGCGCAGGCAGCAGCCAGTGCTGCTAAAGCTGCTCGGGACTTGGTCAGGCGAAAGTCCTTGTTGACATCAACGGTCCTCCCCGGAAAGCTGGCAGATTGTTCGTCTCGAGATGCTGAAGAGTCGGAGATATTTATTGTGGAAGGAGATTCCGCTGCAGGAAGCGCAAAACAAGGTCGGGATCGTCGGACACAAGCTATTTTGCCGCTACGAGGAAAGATCTTGAATATTGAAAGAGCTGCAGCAGAAAAAATATACCAGAACACTGAATTGCAAGGTCTGATTAGTGCTCTAGGTCTTGGAGTCAAAGGATCCGACTTTGACTCGAAGTCGCTTCGGTACGGAAGAATTGTTATCATGACTGATGCCGATGTTGATGGAGCCCATATTCGTGTTCTCCTATTGACCTTCTTCTTTCGGTATCAGAGAGAACTTATCGAACGAGGTCACGTGTATATTGCGCAACCGCCACTGTACAAGGTTTCAAGTGGCTCTGGCCGTGCAAGGAAAGAGTTTTACGCTTTTGATGATGAACAAAAGGATATCATCATTTCCAAGATGGCTGGCATAGAGGACGTTTCACCAGGAGATGTTGCTGTAAAAACGGCGAAAGTAAGCGTCCAGCGATTCAAAGGGCTTGGAGAAATGATGCCAGATCAGCTTTGGTCCACAACCATGAACCCAGAGACTCGAACTATGTTGCAAGTAACCATAGAAGATGGAGCTATTGCAGACCAAACATTAAGTGTCCTGATGGGGGATGCAGTAGCTCCCCGTCGGAGCTTCATCAGCTCTAATGCAGAGAATCTAAGGGTTGATGACCTCGATGTGTAGAAAACCCCGAGTACCGTAGTGTACTTTGGATTTCCAATCAAACGGTACAGTACCGGGTACCGGTATAGGAGTACAGTAGGGAAGTCCTGTCAAATAACCAGCTCTCCTTGGGGGAGGGGAAATCGGTATACTCTGAGTTTGTCGTTGGGGCATAAAATTGCACGTTGAATATTTTATTCAATACGTGTATCCATATGTTCTTTTTCTCTGTAATTTATTTAGGAAAAACGCGCACAGACATAGCACAGCTCAATCGTATGTGTGCTTGTGCACTTCACATCTCTGCTGGCACGTGCATAAAACGAATCATCGCCTGGGTACTACGTGCTATTAGATCAAAGAATGGAATAGCAAATGTGATATTTGTCCTGTCATTACTCGCTTTCCGTTCTCTAATACAACGTATTCGCGATACTCTGGGGCCATGTCAATCAATATCTGGACCATCATGCCAGTGCTTTTCATGTAGATACGATCTTCTCCTTCCTTAGCTTCAGGCATATAAGTTTGAATGAAAGCGTTAGGCACGTCCAGCGTCATCATATCTCTACCTTCGTGTGCATCAATAACACAAGTAGTGGTGATTGCTTCTTGTGAAGCAGTTGGACTTGCAGTGTCCTCTCGCGATAACCATTCACAAGTTCCATCGCCTCGGAATACTAGGCGAC